CATAGGTTATATTAATAAAAAACTAGTGTGTAAACTAAATTTTTAATTAATACTACTTACCTAAATAATTTACCTAACTAGATTTAATAAAAAATAACTTAAAAAAGGTTTTATCTCTAGTACTATAACTATTATAATTACTTACTAACACTATAAAGAGTAGATTAAGCTCTATGTAATAAATATAAGATGTTATAACCTAATCCTAAGATAACTATAGCTGTATTAGTATAAAGTTACTTTTAATTACTAAGAGTAAGTTCTAAACTTTAACTCTTTTTAATACTAAGATATATGCTTACACTTACACCTAAACAACACCTAAATAGCACTTAATATAGAAGGTTTTTAGACTTACTTTTTAATAACCTAGAGAAAAACTACCTAAGTAAGGCTAACAAGCTAGGCCTCTTACTAAGATAAGCTATATAAAATAATTTAATAACTACTTAAACTTAAAAAAGAAAAAGCTTTTAAAGAACTTTTACTTACCTAATTTAGACATAAACTAGGACTTAAACAGTAGATAAACATCTGCTATATAGAACCTGCCTTATTTATAACTCTAGCTTAATAACTAGATTATAAAATCTACGCAGTTATAATTTCTAATATAGACTAAGCTTTAGCTTTTTAAAAACATACTAACTTAAAAATAATAGTCTTTTAAGACTACTATAACTTATTATATATCTTTTTTTAAGACAAGTCTAATAAGCTTTTAATATAATGTTTATATAATTACTAGATAACCTTTAAGCCTAGTAAATAACCTAGTTATAGGCTACTATATAGAATGTTACTAAATAAATTAAAAGTGCTCTAAAAATACTTTAATAAGAACCTAAAAAAAAAGTTTATTTAAGCTAGCTTCTTACTAGTAGTGTTACTTATACTATTTATAAAAAAACCTAAAGGTAGGCTTTAATTCTATGTTAACTACTAAGGACTAAACACTATTACTATTAAAAACTAATACTTAATTCTTTTTTTACAAGAAACCCTAAGCTAACTAAGTAAAGTAAAGTATTTTATAAAGTTAAATATTATTACTACTTTTAATAAGCTAAAGATAGTAAAGGGTAATAAGTAGCTAATAGCGTTTTAGACCTAATATAGACTATTTAAGTACCTAGTAATGCTCTTTAGCTTAGCTAACACACTTAGTACTTTTTAACATTTTATAAATAACTTGCTCTAACCCTACCTAAACATATTCTGCACTATGTATATTAATAATATTCTAATCTACAGTAATAGCCTTTTAAAGCACAAACAGCATGTATGCTTAGTGCTAAAGGCTATAGAAAAAGCAGGTCTGTAACTTAATATAGACAAATGTAAGTTCTACTAATTAAAAGTTACATATTTAGGATATGTAATCTCTATAAATAGCATCTAAATAGACCCTATTAAAGTTTAAACTGTGCTAGATTAGTAATACCTAAAAAATGTAAAAGATGTTTAAGCTTTTATAAAATTTACTAACTTTTACTAATAATTTATTAACAACTTTTTATAGCTAGTAAGCCTTATAATTACACTTACTAAGAAAAAGTTTTAATTTAACTTTAACCTAAATTATTAATAGTCCTTTAACTAGCTAAAGAAAGCCTTTACTAAAGCTCTAATACTTTACTACTTTAACTTTAAACTACTAATACTTATAGAAGCTAATGCCTTAGACTATGTAGTAGCAAGAGTTCTCTTCTAGACTAAGCTAAATAGAACTATTAGGCCTATTATATACTTCTTAAAAAGAATAAGTCCTGCAGAAAGTAATTATAAGATCTATAATAAGAAATTACTTACTATAGTACACTACTTTAAATAATAGCAACCTAAACTAGAAGGTGCAGCGCATCTAATATAGGTCCTATTTAACTATAAGAACTTGCAGTACTTTATAACTATAAAATAACTTAGCTACTAATAAGCCTGTTAGTTTAAATACCTATTTTATTTTAATTTTAAAATTACTTATTATCTTAGTTAAAATAAAGAGAAACTAGATGCTTTTATAAAGTAATCTTAAAACATCTTTACTTAAAAAGAAGTGTAAAAAGCTTAATAATAAACTCTACTTTAACTTAAGCTATTTTTAAACCTTAACTTAAATAAAATAAATTAAATAATTAATTAAATTATTACTAATAAGTATCTAAATAATAAATTTATTTAAGAAACTTTAGACTTACTTTAAAATAGCGCTAGTTAGTTAAAGAAGGTAACACTAGCTAACTATAAAAACTAAAATAGTAAGCTATATTACTATAACTAACTTGTAATTTCTAATTCTAATAAACTAAAAATTAAACTACTCTAAATTATACATAACTTACCTGTTAGAGAACACCTAGGCAGAGAAAAGACTCTTAACCTACTACAGAGAGAGTACTACTAGCCCTGCATATTCTATACTGTACGCTAATATGTATTATGTTGCTATACTTGCTGTAAAGTAAAGGCCTCTTAAAAAAGGTATAATAGCCTGCTTAAACTACTTCTAATCCCTAAATAAGCTTAGAAAGATATATTAATTAATTTTATTATAAACCTACTCTTATTTAAAGAGTACATAAATATTATAGTAGTTATTAATTACTTAACTAAGTATTAACACTTAATACTATGTTTCTCTATAACTGCCCCTAATATAGCCTAGTTATTCTACTAATATGTATAAGTTTACTATAGCCTGCCTAACATAATTATATTAGACAGAGGTACATAGTTTGTCTTAGCCTTTTAGAACAAACTTTATAAACAGCTCTAAATTATCTTTTATCTATCTATAGCTTTTTACCTAGAGACTAATAGCTAGACTAAGAACATAAACACTATAATAAAATAAGTCCTATAAGTGTATATAAACTACTAGTAAAATAACTAGGTAAAATAGTTAGCTATAGCATAGTTTAAAGCTAATAACATAACATCTAAATTAACATAAGTATCTCTGTTCTTAGTAAACTATAGATACTACCTCTAAATAGAATTTAAACTACTTATAAATACTCTCTAACTAACTTATTAATTTATACAAGTAATAAACATAAATAAACTTATTAATAAGATCTAAAATATATCTAAATATGTTTATAAAAAGCTTATATAGGCTTAAGCTTTTTAATAAGAGTACATAAACTAATTCTAAACTTCTGCCCCTGCGTATACAGCTAGCAAGAAGGTCTAGCTAGACGCTAGAAATATCTAAATAAACTAATAATTAAAAAAACTTAATTAAAAGAACCTTAGCCCTTTTATAGTAGCCTATATAGTCTTATTGCACACTTACTAATTAATCCTACCTAACAGCATAAAGATACACCCTGTGTTCCACGTATTGTTGCTGCGCTAAGCAGCCTCTAAATCTAACTATCTACCTAAATAGCTAAACCTGCTACCTAAACCTATTATTATAAATAATAAACTAAAATACATTATAAAAGACGTTAAATAAATCTAGTTTAATAAGAAAAAACATATCTATAAATACTTTATAAAATAGACTAGATACAACAAACTATTATAGGAACCTATAGAAGCCTTATAAAAGAACTCTACAGTAACTTAATTCTACGCCTAATACCTATCTAAACTAAACCTGTACTCTAATAAAGACAACCTAATGCTAGAACTACTAATGTAAAAGATTTCTTTTCTAATAAGAGGGGGGGTACTGTTACAGTATTCTCCCTAGATCCTAGACATAACTATATTAGACGTGTACTAGAGTATTATTAGTGCACGTCTAACATAAATATAACATAACATAGATATAAACTTAAGCATAAACTACTTTAACACTAACTAAACTTAAAATAGGCTTAATTTATACTTAAAGCGCTTAGACTTCTAAGCTAAGTATTTAATTACTAATTTCCTTTTAAACTTTCTTGTTCCTCACACAACGTCTTGTACCTACTATAATACCTCACGTAGTAATTAAACTAGACCTCTGTGAAGCTCTATAACCTTACTCGTGCACAATCGTGACACTGCGCTAAGTAGCCTCTTAATTTAACTATCTACCTAGACAGCTAAACCTGCTACCTAAACCTATTATTATAAATAATAAACTAGAATATGTTATAAAAGACATTAAATAAATCTAGTTTAATAAAAAAAAACATATCTATAAATACTTTATAAAATAAACTAGATATAACAAACTGTTATAAAAACCTATAAAAGCCTTATAAAAAAACTCTATAGTAACCTAATTCTACGCCTAATACTTATTTAAACTAAACCTGTACCCTAATAAAAATAACCTAATGCTAGAACTACTAATGTAAAGGATTCTCTTTCTAATAAGAGGGGGGGTACTGTCACAGTATCCTCCCTAGATCCTAGACATAACTGTATTAGACGTGTACTAGAGTATTATTAGTGCATGTCTAACATAAATATAACATAACATAGACATAAACTTAAGCATAAACTACTTTAACACTAACTAAACCTAAAACAGGCTTAATTTATACTTAAAGCGCTTAGACTTTTAAGCTAAGTATTTAATTACTAATTTCTTTTTAAACCTTTCTGTTCCTTACACAACGTCTTGTACCTACTATGATACCTCACGTAGTAATTAAACTAGACCTCTGTAAAGCTCTATAACCTTACTCGTGCACAATCGTGACATAGAGCTACAGTAATTGTGAAGCTATGTGGAGCACCAAAGACATGAGGAACTAGATTGTATTGCTAAAGGAGGGCAACTACGGGTTTATATAGTACTAGATGAACCCATCATGTGACTTAAGGCCACCAATAGCTCTAGGCTGCAGCAGGTGGCATTGCTAGGCAGCAGTACGCCAAAGGAGTGTTGGTGGCTAGCGCATGGAGAGCTCGGTAACTGCAAACAGTAATTCTTAGTTAAGCTAGTGCATAGTAGAGAAGGTTTAGAACTATAATATTACCTAAAAAATTACAAAAGTCCCTTAGATAGCTAGAGAGAGAAAGCCTTTCTTATACCCTTATTAGCTAGAGAGATGGGGCTTACGCCACTAAAGCTACTAGCAGGGGCTTGCCCCTGTCAAGGCTCTCTCCCCATCCCGTCTGAGCTTGCTGAGATAAGTTCCGATTATGTGGCAATTCTGTGCTAGCTAGAATAGGTAATCATCCTGATCAGAGGTACTAACTAGGGTGGCGGCCCTGCATAAATCAAGAGCCCCTCGCAGCCCTACAGCTGATTATTACTTCTTAGTAGTGCTGTAGGGTTCTCTAGATTTAAGAGAGTTGCTTAAGAGGCTGCAAAAGTAATGCAAGCTTAGTTGTAATTTTCTAGCACAGAAGGCTAGTTTTTACTTAACAGGAGGCTCTTTGCAGATTATGCAGTGGTATAGTAACGCAAGCGTAACTTTTTAGTAGGCACACGTTATAGCGCTAAAGAAATACTCTTAGAAGCTAACTTAGGTTAAGTATGGTTGAAATTAGGACGCGGGGATAAGTCCTATCATGTCAAAGTCAAAGTACCGATGATTTGTTCTGCCACGGCGGTTGTTCCGTTACGCATGGATGCACGTTAGCTATAGAGATAGAAATAGCTTGAAAATGTCCCCAAGTAACCATAAAACTATACAGTCATGCCACCAAAACTTATGATGTTTGGAGGCTGGGTTCATTTCGGCGTGGGATGTTTTTCGACCAACAGTGATGGACGTTACCTATGATTTGTTCCGCCACGGCGGTTGTTCCGTTACGCGTGAATGCACGTTACAGAAGAACAAGAGGGGCGCTTTTGGTAATATAGCTGAGCCGACTCGGAATCTAGGCAAATATCCTCCGCTAAACGGGGACGTTTTACAGGAAGTTGGGAGATCATGATAAATGGTGAGATGTGTGTAACATCCGAAGACCCGGGCGCTTGCTGTACTGAAGCGTCTGCAGCCCCGATTTCCGTCTCGCTCTCGTCCCCCACTGTGCCCCAAACGACTTCTCAAGTGTCAAACGCGTGTCAACTTGACCTCACAAGCGAGTACTTGCGGCATTGGGAGCTCTCGCAGTCCCCGACGCTGCCACCTCGTAACCTAACCTACCCTCACACAAAGCTGGGGCGGGTTTACCGATGGAAAAGCCACGAACGACAATATACTCTGACGGACTCAACATTCATAAAGAGTGAGCTGCCTGAAGAGGCACTGCCTATCTCTCGAGCTACTGGATGAAAGGTGTACCCTCATGGGCTCACGAGCGTCTCAGAAACGAAACATTTCATCGCATCTACGAAATCTATACCTGTACCCAGAGAACGGCTTGCTTCACCTCAAGACTGAGTGTGTCCTAGGTATATCTCTATGGCATCTGAAAATACTACCAAACATGTCGCCAACTGCTTGGAGTCGTCTGTCCTACCCCAGCTTCGCAAGCTACGACACCACACTATTGGCAGCGTCACCCCACCGAGGCAGATAACGTATCGAGACAAACGGTCGAACTGGGTACGAAAGACCTCCCCCAATACAGACAAGGGAAGCTCTACAACATTGCCGCAAGCTGTCCTCGCTGCGAATCTTGCGATTCCCCGACGACGATTCTCAAGTGCCGGACACTAAAACAGCCCAAGACTGCGAGACATGAAGACGCAGCGGACTCAGAACCGGGTTCCCCCGCCAATTCGCAGTTCACGATAAGCCGTCCGCTGGTTGGCCTTGTCCGCTGGTTGGCCTTGTCCGCCAGCGCCCTGCCCTGGCCCTACTCTCCTCGTCCTAGTGTCTAGCGCTATCCGTTTCGGCGTGCGTGTGGGCGGCGGAAGGGGCGGAGGAGATTCGAGAACGTCGCGTAGATCGCGTAGGTGAGCGCTTCGATGTTGGGCAGAGAGGATGTTGGCGGGCTTCGGGGATACTGGGGCGTAGGCTGTTTGCGGCGGGTAGAATCGGTGAAGGTGAATACGCCAATCGTGGAGAGGTGGAAAGGCTGTTTATGCTGAAAAGGTCATCGATGCGGAACGTCATAAATATTGTCGGTTGGTGATGGACTGGCCGAGAAGCTCATCGGTGACTGTGTTGCATTTGGGCTCGGCCGTCGCATGTTGCTATATCGCGACTAGGTGGCTGCCGCTGCCTCTGATGGACGTGTATATTTTATAGCGTGCTTGTAGAGTGTAGTTGTCCGTCCATGCCATGGCCGCAGGGGAGCGCGGTGGCCTGCGGCCACTGGCAGACGGGTTATAATGCTGTTGTTTTGGGGTTTTCCAAACGAGCAGGTATGAGCCTTCCTTTTCGGAAGCTTGGATGAGGAAAATTTAGCAATAACAAAGGAAGAATAGCGATATAGACAAACAAATCTCCTGTGCCGCCGACAATGTTCATACGGAGCACCGCGTCGGTCAGTTGCAAAGTCAGGTTTGACATTCGGAAGACAGACGCCGACATACTGATTCCGGCTTGGCGACACCTTAAAACTGTGAACAGTAACAAAGGGGCAAACTTTAGCCCACTAACAATAGAACACAGCATTATAATATTGCTTTAAAACACCTAGAATATAGTAATAGACCTAGTAAAATATATTTATTTGCCTTAAAAATCTAGAATATTTGCAAAAGTGGTGGAAAGTTTTATAGGCTAATTAGACATTAATCCGGCGCTTTTTTAAACCAATAAGAGAAAAGACTTGGCAAGATGTACAGTGAATAATAGAGATATCGAGTTCCTGGCGGTACCTATGCCGCCTGTGACTAAATGCGGGACAAAAATAATCCGAATGCCGATGATCACCCGAAAGAACGGAGCTTCGCATGAAGCTAGTCGTTCGCAGCGGCATTGTAGCTTCTCCCCACTACCATGGCATCTTGAGAATTGAATCGTCACGGGAAGAGAGAAATACAGTATTCGAGCTCCACGGTTGCGTGTCTCAGGTAATTTTTGAGGTTGCATAAAGACTTGTGGAGCAGCGAAGCAGAAGAAACTGACCACGCCAGATATTAATACTCAACGTCGCTCGTCTGATCATCCCACACGATCAATCCACCACAGGGCCCCTTACCCTCGATATGGCTGACCTCATCTAATTCCCAAGAGGATTTGAAGAAGAGGACATTGTCGCCTGGGGCACGACAGGCTTGATGTGCCTTGATGCGGCCTCCCAGACTGTCATAAAGACCCCTCACGATGATGACAAATGCCGCAGAGTCCAGGTGGAGAGGACGATATACGAGAGGTTCGAGCAGCGAGGCGGGCATAGGGGACTCCTGCGATACCACGGCCCGTACGATTCAGGCATCCACCTCGAACTCGCTCCAAATTGGAACCTCTCCCCGACTTAGTTTTGCAGACGCTCCCTCAAGGCAGGTATTTAACAGCTGGCCAAAGCCACTTACCGCACTCGTTCGATCTATCCCCCGCACCTCACGCGCACCCGCTCCATAATGCAGAGCATATCAATGATGCTGTCCAAACTATACCCCCGACTCCTATGGGTCCCCCGACCTGGTCACGAAAGAAGAAGGCTCCAACGCTACGAGCTAATGCTTGGGAGCCTTACAAAGCTCGAATCATCGAGCTCAATATTACGCAAAAGCTTCCGCTAAGGAACGTTAAGGAGATCATAAAGGAAGAGTTTGGCTCTACTGCTGCGTAGGTCCCCTAGGTATTGTGAGGCGTGTTTCTAATGTACTTACATAACCGTAGGGTACGACAATATCGTTCACGCACCACTCAGTGGAGGAAGGACAAAAATATCAAGCCAGAGGAAATGAGAGCAATCGCCAGAAAACAACAACGGAGGAAACTTGTTGAGGTTATAAACGTGAGCAGGAGTTTAAGGTTAGGGGATGTATAGTAGAACGACAGAAGATTGACAGGTGGATGAAACGTAACAACGTGACTGACAGCTCCTTGTATGCTCCAAGCCCAGCAGCATGTAAGTCAGAATTCTTATTATCTACTTTCAACGCTTATATACTACAGCTACGCCCTCTACCGTTGAATGCCGAACTATCTCTGAACATGATTCTCCCGTTCCAAGTCCCGCATATTCGCCAACAGCTCCAATCATGTCACCAGGACATATCACAATAGAGTCCTGGAGCTCGCAAATGCTATCACCTGCACTTTCAGTAGCAAGCGTTGTTCGGCCTCAAAATAGCGCATTTGCTGGTCAAAGTCCAGCTCCTATCTATCAATCACTTCCGGGCTTCACTCCGGGCTTCCTTCGACAGTCTCTTCCTATTCAAGGAGGTCTTGAAGACACATTGGATCTTCCCGCAGCTCCTCTACAATAGCAGATTATTTTCGTAGAATTATAGTAATATTCGTCGTGCGCATGAGCTTTCTAGTTGCTAAAAGTCAAAGTACCCCTCATTTGTCTCTCCACATGGTGCGTCTCGCTACGCAAGGATGGACATTACATGGGCAATCAGCGGCAGGCTCAGCGGGCACACGGCAGCGAGAGAGACGTCCACGGCGGGGGGCCGAGGGGCGGCCGTGGACATTCGCAGATGTCCCTGGGGCGCGATTGGGCGATGAGCGAGGCAGCGACTCAGCGGGCGGTCAGCGAGGTCTCGGACACCACTTCACCCAGCCGCTAGGATGCTAAGCCTGGAGTCACGCTGAGTCTTGAGCTCAAAGAAACTGCCGCGCAAGTATCCTGCGCCGTTGATGCGTATATCAACTATTGCCTTTTGGAATCACCAGAAATTAAACATGACCAACTCCTCCAAGATTCAGTCCGGGAGAAAATGTAACAAAAGGCTAATGACACTTTTCTCTGGGTATCCCTTGTCGTACAAGAGCTGAAGAAGGTGCTAAAAGAGATGGTAGCCTGGGAGGCGCTGCAGATCCTCGACGAAGTCCCAACAGAACTGAAGGGCGTGTATTGTCGGATGATACAACAAATCAAACGGTTGCAGCGCCAATATCCGGAACTATGCCGACAGGTTCTCTCCACTGTTCTCGCTGCATATCGTCCACTCAATCTGCAGGAACTCCACGCCTTATCTGGCGGCAATTGTAAATATGTGTGGCTCGTTCCTCACAATACGAGAAGACAATGTTTACATTACCCACCAGTCAGCTAGGGACTTTCTATCCGAGGAAGCACGACATGACCTAGTTCTGTGCGGGATTGTAAAGACTTAAAAGTATTTTTTTAAATAAGTATAATACGTTAATACTTAATAGATTATATATATTTAAGCTTAAAATAAAAGGTTTTTTTAAGTTTTATTTTATATTTAAAAAACATCTAAGTTATAATTATTTACATTTAAAAAAAATGTTTTAAATTTTTATTATTTTGTCTTTATTTCTTACACTTTAAAAATAAACCAATTGTTTATAAAATGTTTTAGTTAACTAAAATTATAATAGCTGCTAAAAGTTAAATTTTTGTTTAAAACCAAGTGTTTTACTAAGTTATATATAAGTAACTGTAGAGAACTAAGGTACTAACACAAAAGCAAGTTAGAGCGCACTAGAATTATATACTATCTTAGGTATATTTTTAGAAACCTTTTAGAGCTAATCTATATTAAGTTTAACTATAAAATGTTAACGTACCTAACAGGCTGGCCGGCCACACGGGTTGGCCGGCCACTTTTGCTAAGCCCCTACTAAAACCACTCTATTCTAGCGCAAAACAGCCTACTTTAGCCCTATATAAAGTAATATAACATAAGATATTATTTAAAGTCTACTTTTACTACTTTTTTATATATATATAAGTTATGCCTAGTTTAATTACACTACTTATATTACCTATAACTTAGCTTATTTTTTTTAGCGCGCACTTATGTTTTTAGCTTTTTTTTATTACTACGCGCTTTAAACTTCTTTAAAGTAGTTAGATAAGCTTTATTTTTAACTATTAAAGTTTTTTTTACTTAAATTTACTTCTTTTTATGTAATTTATATTATGTAGTAGCTTTATTTACTGCTTAAAGCTTTATAATCTTCTTTTACACTAACACTAGCTTATGTGTAATAATTACTGCCCTTTTTAAGACTTTTTTAAAGGCCTTTACTATAAACATTAGTAAACTATTTATATACTTTTAAATTTTTACTTTTATAAGCATTAATTATAACCTAAATTTAAAAGTATTACTTAAGGTTTATAACTACTAAAGCTTATTATTAAGAAGTAGTAGTAGTAATAAAGTATATAACTAGATATTAACGTACTTTATAGGCGAGTTGCTTACACACCTAAGTTGCTTACTTTTGCTAAGACCCTACTACACTACTCTTTTTACACTAATGCATTTCTAACAACACTACTTAAATGTGTTAAAGGAATATTAAATGCAGCTTATACTTTAGGCTTTTAAATAAAACATAACACTTTTTAAGTAACATGCTATAGCTATCTACAAAGTTTTTTAAAAGATAATAAGTAACTAACACACTAAATAACTTTTTTAAGCTAATTATATAGCTAACTTATAAAAGCTAGATAATAATAAAAAGTAGGTAATTATTTAGTATATACTTAAGCTAGATGTGTAAAAATTTCCCCTCTAGCTAGCAGCTATAGCTAATATAGCTAATTTTTTACACGCTAAGCATAATATAGGCTATATTAGCATAAACTAGCTTAATATGTTTATTAAGTGTTACCTAAAGCTTAAAGTAAAGTTTAAGTGTAAGTATAACTATAAAAAAGCTTTTTATAAAGATTTTATAGTAATTTAAGGCTAGTTTAACTTTATAAAGAATATTAAAGCTAAGTATAGTATTTAAAATAACAACATATACAACTTTAATAAGATAAAGTTTATAATAGGCTAAATATCTACTAAAGCAGTTATTATAAGTTTAAAGAGATAAGAATAGCTAAAAGTAGTCTAGCTAGGTAACTAAGAGTAGATAACAGCTATCTAAAGCATTAATGCTAAAAAGTAGGCTATTTTGCTTTTTATTATTTTTTAAAGTAGTAACTACTTTTTAAGCTAGTATAAAAAAGAAAATTTACTCTAAGATTAAGTTATTATAATCTCTAAGCATAGCTAGACTACTAATTAGCTTAGTCTAGACTAGTTAAAGCACTTTAACGCGCATATAAAAAAGTGTACTATTAGTAGCTACTGTCTGCTAGTTATTAATAGCTATAAAAGCTATAACTTACTTTATTTTTAGTAATACTATAAAAATAATAAAATTATTACTATTTATATGCTTTTTTACTTATTACACCTTTTATAGCTACTTAATGTAGGTTGTTTTACTTCTTTAAAAAAAGTATATAAGCGCTAAGCTAAAAACTTTATACATAACTAAATTACTTATATTATAAAAATAAAGTTTTTACTATGCTTTAAAGTAGCTTATAATGCTATAATTACTTTTAGTAATATTTAAGAAGAGTTTTAAAGCGCTAAATTAGTTTCTTTTAACCTATAATAAGTTATAATAGGCCTTAATGTAAAATTATGCACTTTATTACTACTACTACTTATATATAATAAGCCTTAGTAGTTATAAACTCTAAGTAATACTTTAAAACTTAGGTTATAATTAATGCTTATAAAAATAAAAATTTAGAAGTATATAAATAGTTTACTAACTTTTATAGTTAAAGTGTTTAAGAAGGTCTTAAAGAAGGTAGTAATAATTACATATAAGCTAGTGTTAGTGTAATAGGAAATTACTAAGCTTTAAGCAGCTAATAAAGCTGCTATATAACATAAATTACATAAAATAAAGTAAAGTAAAGTAAAAAGAACTTTAATAATTTAAAAAGGCCTACGCTTAACAGCTTTAAAGAAGTTTAAAGCGCACAGTAATAAAAAAAAGGTAAAGAAGTAAGTGTAAGCTAAAGTAGGTAAGCTATCTTAAAAGCGCTGCAGATAGTGCAATTAGACTAGGCATAACACGCAAATGTGTAAGTAAGAAGCAGAAGTAGTATCTAAATAATATTCTAGGCTGTACTGTACTATATAGTGCTAGAGTGGGTTGTTATAGGCTATAATAGAGTTTATTAGGGTGGGGTCTTAGCAAAAGTAAGCGACTCAGGTGTGTGAGCAACTCGCCTATAAAGTACGTTAAGGGCTATTTTAACTTATTTTAGGTTAAATAAGACTAAACTAGCGCTTTAAAACTCTTCTTAGATATTACTAAAAGTAATTACTACATTATAAGTGTGTATAAAGCATAGTAAGAACTTAAGTTTTATAATATAAGTAATTTAGTTATATATAAGATCTTTAGCTTAGCACTTATATACTTTTTTTAAAAAGGTAAAATAACCTACATTAAAAGGCTATAAAAAGTGTAATAAGTATAAAAGTATATAAATAGTAATAATTTTATTTTTTTTATAGTACTACTAAAAATTAAGTAAGTTATAGCTTTTATAGCTATTAATAATAAAAAGCTAATAAGTGCTTATAACTTTTTTTTTATATACTTATTAAAGTGCTTTAACTACTATAGCCTAAGCTTATTTATTGTCTAGCTGTTTTTAAAGACTATAATAACTTAGTTCTAAAGCAGATTTTTTTTATACTAAGTAAAAAAGTAATAGCAGCCTTTAAAAATAATAAAAAGTAAAATAGCTTACTTTATTATATTAATGCTTTAAATAACTATTATTTACTTTTTATTATTTTACTATATTACTTTTAGCTGTCTTTATCTTTTTAAAGCTATAATAACTACCTTAGTTAATATTTAGCTTATTATAAAGCTTAATTTATAAAAGTTATACATGTTTTTATCTTAGATACTATACTTAGCTTTTATGTTAGCTACTAAGTAAAACTAGCCTTAGATAACCTTTAAATTCTTATAAAGTGCTTTTTTATAATTATACTTATAATTAAACTTTATTATAAACTTAGAGCAGTGCTTAACTTACATACTAGGCTAGTTTAAGCTAACCTAGCCTAGATTACACTTTATGTGTAAGAAATTAGCTATATTAGCTATAGCTATAAGCTTAAAAAGAAATCTATGTGTAATAAGCTTAAGTATATACATAATAACTAC